TCTCCATAGGTTCCCCTTGTTTAAATACTTACGATGGGCTCAAAATGTGGAAATATTTCAGGGATAAATGGTTCTTTCCTTGATTTAATATTGGTTGAGGCAGACAGCGACCCACACACACACATTCGAAGAAAGCTTTTTACCAGCATTTCGCAGAACTATATAACAGGTTGGTGGGAGAATACGAGGGGATTTAATTTCTTCTTTCTCCCTCTGCTTTGCTTCATTCAGTCCGTGTGCTGGATCAGACTACGTGGAGATAACGCAAGCCCAAGGTCAGGGAGGAAGAGACCTGCAGCCAATTTACATGAGAGATGAATGGGAAGAGGGGCAGGAAGGGTGGAGGTCGGGGTGGGGGGGCTCGAGACCGGGACTGTGATCTCCTTAGGGTGCACACGCCTGTGTTAATATGTGTGTGTGTGTGTGTGTGTGTGTGTGTGTGTGTGTGTGTGTGTGTGTGGTTGCGAGAGGTCTGTGATCTCCTGGCCTTTGTGATGGAGATGGACCCGGCAGGCCCGACCCGATAATGACGCGACGCTCTAATAGCATTCATCCCTTCTACCGCAAAACTACTCAAGCGGAAAAGAGAGGGGAGGACAAGGGAAAAAAAAAAAACAAATGTGAGGGGTAGATGTTGGTTTGCAGGGGGGTGTACGGATCGGGGGGTGGGGGGGTTAGAGGTGCAGGTGGGAGGGGAGGTGAGCTAAGCTATGTTTAAGAAATGATGGGGGCCACAAATCATTTGTAATCTCAGAATCAGGGTGAGGGAGAGAGAAGGGGGACCATAGGTGACAGCGTGATGGTGTGTGCAGCTCTGGGCTTGTGTGTTTCAGAGAATAGCATTAGATGTGTGAGTGTGTGTGTGTGTGTGAGACATTAGCAGTAAATGCACTCTGCCTGTGTCTCCTTTCTCTCTCTTTATCAGTGTATATTTGCTGTGGGCGCTGGAGCATGGAAGGCTTTCAGAACACTGGCCCATAGGGGACGGGACCCTGTGTCCAAAACACACACAACACACACACACACACACACACACACACACACACACACAGTTACTTATCATACAGGGTCATTACAGGCCTCTAACTATACCTTGGTAATCAGAGGTTCATATCACCGACCATATTCAGCCGTCCTCAACAATGGAGAGCATGGGAATGATGGCAGAGGCGAGGGGGACTGGCAGACAAACGGAGGGCTGAACCTCCATTTTATTGTCCCGTTTGTAGATGAAACACAGACAGATGGAGAATTAGTAAAAGATGTTGGTTTTATAATTACAAGCAGGTTTGATTTCTGTCTTTCTTTCCTCAGACTAAGAAAGGTCCTCCTGTGAAGCAGCCGGGAGGCGACGGTGATCAGTCTGCTGCCTACTGCTACAACTGTTCCAAGAAGGGACACTTGGGTTATGTGAGTACCTTAATCTGTCTTTGTCCTTCCAGGTTGGATTTCCATTGTCTTGTAAAAGTATTTACACCCTTTTTTATGTAACAACCTAAAACTTGTATACAACTATAATTTTTGTCGATTTGTGATTACATTTGTGCACATTTTCCTCAGGAATGTACAAAACAGAGGATGTTCAGTGGGGTTTTTCCCAGCTACCCTTTCATCAGTCACTATGACACTGTGAAGGACATCAACCGCAGACTACACAGGATGAAGATAAAGGCTAACGGTAAGTCACACAGAGACAGTTTAAAAGGAAAAAGTAATAGAAACAGTTAAGGTTAACTTTAAAAAAAACCCCCCCCCCCCAGTCAATTTTTTTCCTAAAAATGTCCCCAATTTTAGCATACAAGAGAAATCCTTGACTGTTCCTCTTTGCACAATATGTCTGTCTTGAGTTTTTTCAAATTCTCTCTACTTTTTAGCTCGCCCCACAGCTTCCATGTAGGATTTGGGTGTGGAGGCTGAGATGGCCTTGAAATAAAGTCAACTAGGCATTTATTTCTGTGATTTGGCCAAATGTTTTGGATCATTATACTCTTGCAGCACTTAAAGGGGAAGCATCATTTTCTTGACAGAAATCTTTTGTTTAAAATCCCCTGCTGTCCCATTCCAGCAAGATTCCCCTGGTCTTTTGAAAGTAACAGGCCCACAGCATCACAGATCCTCCACCTTACTTAACAGTGGGCATAACTACTACTTAAAGTCACCGTCCTAACTTAGGAAGATCAATTCACACATTTCAGAATGTAATGACATGCTCTCTTGTCTTTCCCATTTTGAAGAGTGGCTAAGAAGAATGGGAAGAATGGGTCACGGCACATTTATACACCAGAGAAACAGGAAGTCATGGTGGACTGATTAGTAATGCCTCAGATGCATTATGTTAAAGGGATTGCTAGAAGTACCACTAAATGTGACAGTAGTAATTTTATTAAAATATAATACATAATTGTTAAAGGATGAATTCTTCACAAATTTTCAGTGTGAGATTCTGAATTTATTTTAAGGCTTTCTACACATCTTTACCTGCGATGCCATTAAGTGTGGAGGGTGCTATGAGTCTATATTTTCTCTATATCATATCAAACAAAAATAAAAATTATTTGAATGTTTAAATCCTTTATTATTATTATTATTTTTTTTTTTTGTTCTTAGATATGGGAAGAAATGGCAATCTGTCTTCTGGATCCCCAGCCCCTCCAACCCCTGGACCACAAAGGAAGAAACAAAAAATCAACCATCAGAACGCCAGCCCGCACTCTAAGAACACGCCTCACCGAATCCTAAACAGCTACAGACCAAGTCCAAATCACATCATCTTCAGTGTTGACGACTTTAATGATGCTACACCCAAAACAAAGACGGCTAAGCAGCCCAAAAGTGGTGGCAGTGCAAAACCATGGAAGCCTAAAAGAGCTGTTCCCACCACAAGAGACCCAGTGCCATTGAGTAAGCTAGTTATTGATGAAGCAGACAACTTTCCCAGAGGAGGAGGGCCTCAAGGGAACAAGGAGGAGAAGATGAGAAAGAAAAAGAAGGGCTGTAAAACAAAACAAGTTAATTCATCTATAGCAGACCATGTTTTTAGGACTGGAGGAGAGCAGAGTCAGGACTCAAAATCGTCAAAAAAGAAACAGACGGGAAAGAAGAAAAGACAGAAGGGACGTTCCAATAAGACTGCCAAAAAACAACTGCGTGGAGCCACGTATTCAGAAGAAGATAACCTGTTTCTCATTAAACAGCGGAAACGCAGCAGATAGTAGCAGGGTGTGTTAGGTTGTGACAGGTTGTATCAGTTTATTTAGGAATATTTTGTTATTGAGTTTTAAATCATTGGAACTGAAGCCAGAAGGGGTCTCTAAACCCCTTTATTGTATGTTTTTACAAGAACCATTTTGCATCCCAGTAACAAAAGTTGCAAGAAGTCAGATTACTGAATGCTAATTCTGTAATCTGTAAACACAGGGAACCACAAGTATTTTAAATAACCAAATGTTGCATCCAGGACGTCCATTGCAACAGTAACATTTATCACATGAAAAATTTAGTGACAGTTCATATTATGAACATTTATAACTCATACTAATATGAATGCTACAATCTGAAACTAATTACTTATTTTGTTTGTAACAACGTCTTCAGGTGTTCATTTTCACCGTGATTTAAGTCAAAGAGCTCAAATGGCAGATATTGCTAAATATTCAAACTGTTAATAAAATGGTTGCTTTGTATGATCAGATCAGTTTGACAGTTTTTCAATTTCTTTGTGAGACATGATCACTTGTTAGTGATAATTCGTTTTGTTGATAAGGTTTGGGTTACAGTGAAGCATTTTCACGATTCCTGCTTGTTTCTACACTGTAAAGTTAATTCCCTGATACACTCTGTTAGTGAAGTACAGTACGATCCTCTGCTCTAAACACAGCTGTAACATTTTACCTTGTTTTTTTTCTCTTTAAACGAAAGGAAAAAGTGTTGTGTTTGTTTTTTTTAACAAACTTGGAAATGAGTTCTTTCATTGTGAACTCTAAACATATCTTTTACTGTCAGTTTAATAGTTTATTCAAAATTAATGTTTAGACCATAATAACATCGAGGTCTGAACAATTCTTGTTTCCTCTTACTGCAAGTGTGGCCATGATGCTGATCTGCAAACAGTCCCAAAACAGGGTTTGGATTAAGTGAATCGCTAACATCCCTTTAAACTATACTATGGAAAGTTTTTTTTGTTGTCGTTGTTCATGTGCATTTGTTAAAATCTCACTTGAAAGTGTTAATGCATCTTTGAATATGAGAAAAATGAAACATTTTCACTATTAACACATTAAAAGTGACTGTAGTCTATGAAGATGACATGTTCTACTCAGTTTCCAGCTTTTTAGGACAAAATGGCTTAGCCAACTTTTAATGTTTTTAATATACTAGTTAGCATCACAGCTGCTAACTGTGAGGGTAAACATTGCAGGAGTGGACTAAGTCAGAGCCCATTGTCCCTCACAGAGAAGCTTGCCACAATGATTGATGCTTTTTCTAACACTGGGAATAAACTCCTGGGGTCAAGTGAATGTTGTGTAGCACAGTTAATTTGCTGCCAATTTTTAGTTTCAGCACATTGTCTTACACATTGTTAGCAGAAAAGTAATGTGTAAAAATTAAAATCTAAAATAAAATTTGATATTTTATCCAGTGCCCCCTTTCTTCTAATTGATGTTTTTTGAAAAGATAATATTTTAACAGATGAACAGTGTCTGTCTCCAAAACAAAAAACCCAACAGAAACTGAGATACCTGATTCATTAGTTGATTCTCTACTATAGGTATGTGTTTTAAGCTTATTACCTTGTCAAATTACTAAAGAGATCTGTGAACAAAGATTATCCTGTCATGTTTTACAAATAAAAGTAAGGCATGTCGTATGCATAGCTTGAGCTATTTTGCAAAGAATGCAAAAGGTTTGGGTCCAGTCTGGAGTGTTTGGAAGCGCTCAAAATGTTAATAGCTTTTTCCAACGGCTCCTGAACGCCTCAGTACAGACGTTGCCGGTGACGCGTTACGTCGTTTCCGCCCCATGTTGTTCGCCGTCAGGTGCCGACATCCGCATCTGCATTTGTGTCAGAGAGAGCTGCGGGCTCGGTACTTTATCGTCCAAGAACCTGACAGGACGGTGTGTTGATCCGGACCAAGAGGCGGGAAGAAAAAAAGATGGAGGACGGTTTGAAACCAACCGGCGACACCAAGCTGGACCAGGCTATCCGGCAGTGGCTGCAGTATGACCGGGTGAGCTCACGGAGCTAGCCGCTTAGCTGACCCAGGATTCTGGGGTTTGCCTGACTGGTAGCATGGCTGTTTCCAACCACTACATTTAGGGGAACAGCCTAAAAAAAACTAGACCGCTCAAACGTAACTGATGAACAATTAACTTTAGTGTTTATGCTTTCCACCCACCAAAAACAATGTGTGATTTCCAGAAGAAAATTGGGTATTTTCGTTGTGATGCAATTATAGACAGCCTAAACTGAATCAAAATGTGAGTCAAGTTTTGTCAAGTTTTTTTATGCATACTGTTTATCAGTATTTTCCGAGTAGGTAAACACATTTATGTATGATGTTATTACTGAATAAACTAAGGAGGAAAGCGGTCACAATGAACAGCTGAAAAATAACATGAGCTCAACCGTGTATATTAGAAAAAAACGGTCTCAAAGTCTCAATTTTAAATCTGAGCAGCGCAGACATCAATTTTAAAGGTTTGAACTCAAGGAGCGTAGCAGTGCAGATAAGGACAGATAGGCCTATTGATTAAAAAATTATGAGTTTACTTTTAAAGTGGGAAATGGGTTCTCTAAAGCAGTGATTTCTAAACTTTACAGCTTCTGACCCAGAAAATAAAAAAAAAATATGAGTCTGAAGATTAATTTCCACTGAGTCAGATTAAAAGATGGCATTGGCAGCCAATATGTTGTGCAGTATGTTGGTTAGTTATTTCCAAGACCATCTTTATGTTTTTATCAAATATATTTTTTATTAAGGTTAATTTCTGAAGAGCACCTCAAAATCCAAGTGGGTCCAACCCCAACTTTGGGAACTATTTACAGGACGGCATTCCTTCACCAATATTTAATGACAATGACCACAAAGTTCATCAGTGTTTCGTACAATAAATTTAGTTACTAAATAAAAGTACTTATCGTAGACCTATAACTAATTAATTAGTTGTTAGTGCTGTTTGTGTTTTCATTACAGTCTTGTTTAATTAACTTGTTATAATTAGTAAGCCACAAACTTTTGATTATGAAGTTAATATTTACTGCCATCATGTTGAACAGAGAAAACCAAAACTGCCTGCTGTTAACACAGACAGCCAACCTATTTTCATCAATTTCATCAAAAATGTATTCATCCTGTTAACTATCAAACTTTTTTTTTATTTATTTTCACATAATCTGGTTCACAAAACATTTGCAGGAAAGTAGCTAATTTTTAATGATTTGTTTCTATAATTGTCACAGTCATGTTTGTAATTATAGAAGGCTGACCAGCACAGGAAGAGTCCTTCTTGGTCCTAAAGAGTCATGCAGAGCCACCAATTAGTTTTCAGGGGACTCAGATTCATTAGTCTTAGGATAATTGTGTTAAGAGGGTCTCACTGAACAAGTCGAGTCTTACTGAAAAGACATTTTCATCTCCTTCTTGGTGTGCCACAAATGATTGAAATGTTGTCTTCTTTATTTATTTATTTTTTTTAAAGTTGTACAAAACTGAGAAAAATAAATATTCTTATACTATTGTATTTTGTCATTATTTTGTTTGAGAACATGTGAGGTCAAAATGACTCTAAACGTATTCTGCTTGGTGAAATGTGTTTGTGACTTTCACCTTTTAGACTTGCATACTATTTTCATCTGTTATAAGCTATCAAATTTTGGGGGTTTAGGCAGTATTAAGCAAAGAAAAAATTATACAACTTCTTTTTGTCAGATTTAGGAAGTCACGTGGCATTGCTAAACCTTGACATAAGATGCCACAAACAAATTTTGTAACGCAAACCTCCTCGTTACCAGATAAAAACCTAAAGATTTTCTTTAAATAATAAGTCTGTTTGTATTTCTGACTATAGCAAAAATATTTTGGGTTTATATTTCCTAGAACCCCAAGACAAAATCCCTGGTGCAGGACATGGTGAAGGATGGATCAATGGAGGCTCTGAAGAAGTGTTTCTCCTCCAGGATGGAGTTTGGTACGGCTGGGCTGAGAGCTGCCATGGGCCCCGGCATATCCTGTATGAATGACCTCACAATTATCCAGACCACGCAGGTTGGTTAATTGATAAGCTACTGCCAGACGTTAAGCACTCAGGTCACATGAGTGTCACGTTAAAGCCTAAAGCTCAAAAGCTTCTGTATATCACCAGTAGGTTCTTCCTGTATATTTACCCGAAACAGTCAGGCCTTTATCATTTGATTCACATTACACTATCAGCAGGCAAGTAATGTTGATAATAGTCCTCTCGTAGTAAAATATATATAAAAAAAAACCCAACAACATATAAATAAGGAGAGAATGGTGATAACCAATACAAGAGTAAAGTTATGGATCAGTCTTTGTTAAATAACCCCCCACCTCACTGTTTATAGATCTTCATGGTTTTACATTACTCTCAAAGCCCTGAGGAGTGTGTAATCGAGAGAGTATGTGGCTCCGATCACAGCTTCATTTCTATTTATTACTCCACACGTCAGTACACTCTCTCCAGAAAATTGCGTTAGCTCTCCGTTTAGCGACTGTATATACGAGTTTGGCAATAATTCCTGTGATTACTTTTGATTGGTTGGACTTTCAGCACAAATCCTGTATTGATTAATAGTGTAGAAGAGGAATAAAGAGGTGAGGAAATGGAAAATTCATTTTTTTCCTTTTCCTTTTTCTTACTTTTTTCTTCTCTTCTTCTCCTATTAGACCAAGTCTCATGCTGGCTGTCACCTGATTTCAGCTGAAAATCTGGCCAATCAGATTAGTTGAAAGAGGTCTGCTTCTGACTGACAAATACTTAACCAACAGTACTTCTCCCCATACTGCATTCATGGACCCGGACATAAATGATGATTGGGGTTATGCGCTCTCTCATTTAATATGCTCTGTTGTAATTGCTCATTATTGGCAGGAATGTGATGCCATATTTAACAGCAGTTTGCTGCTGGACCAGTGGAAATAACTACTTGTGCTGCTGCATTTGGAGGCTCAAGCTATTTGAATATGAACTCTTTGCCAGGCCAGAAGACGAGTTTCTATCGGTGTTAGAATATCAGACGATCTATAAACTAACACCAGCTTACTTTCTCTCAATCATTCAATGAATTGTTCTGATGTTCCAGGGTTTCTGTCGCTACCTGGAGCAGAGTTTCGGTAACCTTAAGGAACGAGGCGTGGTCATCGGGTACGACGCACGCGCCCACCCTACCAGCGGGGGCAGCAGCAAGCGCTTCGCCAGCCTGGCCGCAGCAGTTTTCATCAGCCGAGGAGTTCCTGCCCACCTCTTCTCTGAGATCACCCCAACACCGTTTGTGGTACGCTCTTGAACATCTGTGTTCTCTACTTTGGGGGCGTTAATTGTGTCTAATATACACACCAGATGGTTAAAAAGAGATTTACCGCTTTGGAAGCACATTCATGTGCTTTTAATGTTTGTCAAGTTAAGACAAACTTAACTTGACATTTTTATGTCAAGTCAAGTTTGTCTGCTGTCAGGATTTTAGTGTGATGGACGTTGTGAGGACATAAGCTCCAGGGCAAATTCCATTTAAAAAGTCGCTCAGTTCTGGTGCACAGCACGTTACATAACACACAGATTTCACAGGTTGTGTTTAGGATATCGTCATGTTCTCTGTATTTTCTGTCCAAACACGTCTGCATTGTAGAGCCCAAACTGCACACATTATTCTGCACCCAAAGTCAAAACCTCAACCTTTCAATCTAAAGCTTTATCTATAAAATTTAAGCAATGTGTTGGACTTTATTTTTTAGCATTTTTCTGTTCTTGTATGCAACAAATCTAAAATTTTCACATTTCAATGTCAAATGTTGAGAAATGAACTTGGATGTGACGATCTATGAAATTGATATCTTAAAATAGTGCAAAAGAAGAATGCAAGCCTGTCATAAAACAGCTGCTTAAGTTTTATAATAAGCTATTTCTATGTTTTCTGTTTTTGGAATGTCATGCTGCCGTCTTTCTCACGTTGTTCGTTTTGCAGCCTTTCACAGTTTCCCACCTGGGTCTGTGTGCTGGCATCATGGTGACCGCCTCTCATAACCCCAAGCAGGACAACGGCTACAAGGTACAACTGACTTATTTCCGTTTTGGTTTTCATCAGAAGTGCATTAGTACGTTTTTACACGGGACCATAACACTGTCATAGACCATTGTAGTTCATTTTCTGATCTTTCTCACAGGGAAACAGGTGGAAAAATAATCTAAAGAATAAACTTTTTCCTGCCAGGTTTACTGGGAAAACGGCGCCCAGATCGTGTCTCCTCATGATTCTGGAATCTCCAAAGCCATTGAGGAGAACTTGGAGCCCTGGCCGGCATCCTGGAACACAGAGGAGGCCCTGAAGGCCGCCTTGCTGAAAGACCCCTTCCTGGATGTTAACACACAATACTTTCAAGCCATCCAGAAACACTGTCATCACAGGTACTCCATAAGTTTAAAACAGTTTTGTGGAGTGTGTCATGTGGTACAGTGTATAGATGATTTAACTTGTTTCTTTGCAGAGAGATAAACAAGAAATCAGAGGTGAAAATAGTGCACACTTCTGTGCACGGCGTTGGTCACACATTTGTCCAGTCGGCTTTCAAGGCTTTTGATCTTCACCCCCCGTATCCCGTAGAGGAACAGAAAGATCCAGACCCTGAATTTCCCACCGTCAAATACCCAAATCCTGAGGAGGGGAAGGGAGTTCTGGTACGCACTGAACAATAACCCAATGCTCTCCACATGTAAATGATTCAGCCACTGCCGTGTTTGTGTTCATTTGGTAATTTTTCGGTTTGGTTCGCAGACATTGTCGTTTGCTCTTGCAGAAAGAGAAGGAGCCTCTGTGGTTTTGGCCAACGACCCTGATGCTGATCGATTAGCAATAGCCGAGAAGCAGGAAAGGTTTGTGTTTCATATTTATGACTTTAGAAAACCACTCCCAAAAAAATCACACATTTCTGCAATGACATTTTTTATGAATGCAGACATGTGTGTGTTATCAGATAAGTAGAACGGCTTAAAATAGTTTCCATTTATTTTTATTTTTTTTAAATGGCACAATCTCTCTGAAAACTTTAGGAAAAATCCACTTTTTAACTTCAGTGCATTTATTTAGTGGAAGAAAAAAAGGTAAGAAATTGTTTTAAATAAAATCTCCAGTTGGACAATCATTACTGTTACCTATAGCCATCCTGTTGTAGATCAACACAACTGAGGCATTTTAAAATGGAGACTTACATTTCTAAAGCTGATCAGTTTGTAAGATCTTCCAATTACTAATTGATAACTTCTTGCTTTTTTTGGAGTTTTTGTTTGTTTTAGCCACTAACCTGGATGAGGGCCAGTAATACAAATGAACATTTTGCCCATTCACCAGGAGTTAAAAAAAAAAAAAAAATCAAGACAGAATTGGCTCACTGGATGAAAAATTCACCTTCTGGCATGTCCACCTCAATTACCAGACCTACTTAGAAGTTCTCAGAAACTCAGATTAACTTAAAAAGTGAAGAATAAATAATAAAAATGTTGCTTTTACTCATATTTTAGAGGAACTGTTGGGTAGCTGAATTTGTTGTAACAAAGTCTCGGGACTTTGTTAGTATTTCTCCAGGCCTGATGTCTCTTGACACTGAATAAATGAACTATATAATTATATGATTTTTTTTTTTTTTTTTGTACTTTTCATTTTTAAGTTTTCTATGTGAGGGTACACTACTGCAATTAGATCAATATTAATTCAGAGTTTTTTATACATTGCTATTTATAACCCTTTTATTTAGCTGAGAATACTTTAAATCACAGTGGTAGTTCTTTTTCTTTTTTTTTAAACATATTAGCTAGTTGCATTCTTTCCTGCTTATAAAATGTCTCAAATATCATCATCTCTGACCAGTTACTCGTGATGTAATTCTGCCTTGGAGACTGAAACGCTTCTTTACCTTTCACCTTCCTGTCTCGTGTGGCTCAGTGGACAGTGGCGCGTGTTCAGCGGCAACGAGCTCGGCGCGTTGCTCGGCTGGTGGATGTTCCACTGCTGGAGTGAGCAGAACTCTGACGCTGCCGCGGTGAAAAACCTCTACATGCTGGCAAGCACCGTGTCGTCCAAAATACTGAGAGCCGTCGCTCTGAAGGAGGGCTTCCACTTTGAGGTAATGCATTCAGGCTTGCAAAACTTTTCTGGCCTCATTTGTAAAAACATCTGTAGAAAAAATTTGTAGACTCCAAGCATATCAGAGTTTATTGCAGGAAAATACTTTCTTGTAATTTTGTTTTTTACTTTAATTTTATATACAGTTAAAGCAACAAATCTGTATTAACTTTTTATCTTGTATTATTGTATCATAGAGAATCTTGATACAATAGATTTGGTCAGTTTTAATTCAGTTAGGATTACTAAGACGATTTCTATTTGCTAAATGTCAGGGTAAAGAGGGAACTTTCTTCACAGTCAGAAGTTTACATACATTTTCTTATTCTTTAAATTTGTTCTACTTTGGTCAAGCATTTATATTTCAACAAGCTTCTCACTGCAGTTTACTGGAGTGCTTCGGTTTACCACAGATGGTGATGAGTAATCCATCAGAACGATTAAAGCCATGACATCATAATTTACAAAAAAATAGAAAAATACAGAGTTCTCTGTTATTTTGACATCTAGCAAAAATTAATAAGTTTTATTAAGAGGCACAATTTAGTCTGATTTCATTTCAGTGAGGAAGAAAATGTTTGCTTGTTTTTATATAATGTATTTAAACATAGTTTTAGTTAAGTGACTTGTTTCATAGGCATTCTATGCCGTGACATGTGTCAACCCATATTTTTGTTGTTTCTAAAGACTTTTTTCTTGATGATGTTTGGACAGGAAACCCTAACAGGTTTTAAATGGATGGGGAACAGAGCCAAAGACCTCTTGGACCAGGGAAAGAGTGTTTTGTTTGCTTTTGAGGAGGCCATAGGTAGGCACAAACACAAACTGATGTTATCGCTCTGTTAAATCACAGAGTGACTTAGATTAAAATGTCTGAAGGCTTGTGTTTTATTTGCACTGACAGGAAGTGTTTGGATTCTTTTCTGTTCGTGAAGATGTCTTTTGAGTGTCTTGTTGGCTGCTTCATCACAGCCGTCATATTAAACTATGTTATCCGAGTTGGCAAATAAGGAAACTAATACCTCAAAGTGGCATTTTGGTCAAAGCCTGTTGTAAAGATGAATTGAAAATTGAAAACGACTTCCAGAATAATTCATATGAGTTAATTTTCAATCAAATTGTCCTATGGTATGCCCAAATTAATTAGCTTACCCTTATCTGACTTTTTTTCAATTAGTCTTAAAAAAAAAAAGTTTGATTTGTTAAACAAGACGAAAAGACTGAAGAGATGTTGAGGAAAATCCACAGACACAGGCAGGTTAAGGATTGTAGTCAAACGTGCGTCAATGGTTTGTCAAACACAAACAGCATAGTTTGGAGCACTTCCATGTAACGTTATTATGATGCTGGAATTGGAATGGCATGCCATCGTACACACACGGTTATTAAAGGAAACAACAGCTGACCACCACAGCCGGGTTGTCACACACACACATGGGAAATGGACTGCCTGTATGTGTGTGTTTCAGGTTATATGTGTTGTAACTCCGTATTGGACAAGGATGGCGTCAGTGCTGCAGCTATCGCAGGGGAGATGATTTCATACCTGGCCACCAAAAACAAAAGCCTCTCCCAACAACTCACAACCATCTTTGAAGAGTAAGATGTTTACGTTATGCTGATCTAACATTAAACTTACTGCCGACTAACTCTTATTTTCTCCCTGCGAAATTGTCAGGTATGGCTATCACATCAGCAAGAACTCCTACTTCATCTGCCACGACCAGGAAGTAATCCGCAGCCTGTTTGAACGTCTGCGCAACTTTGGTGGCAAAAAGGACGCGTACCCGTCAGAATGTGGCCGCTTCTCCGTCTCCGCTGTTAGAGACCTGACCACCGGTTACGACAGCAACCAGCCCGACAAGAAGGCTGTAAGAAACCTGAACACAACATTAGAGCAGAATTTATCCTGACATCGCACTGTGAAGGTAGAAAATACTACACCATCAACAATCTATTACCGGCACCTCTGACAAAGATGTGCACAAAAGCCTCAATTGTTAAGGCGGCTTGATGACCCCAAGATGCCACTCTTTGCTGCAGTTCTTCACAAATTTTCTTTAGAGATGATTCCTGTTCTTATACTTCTGTAGTTTATTTTACACATTTTTTTTTTTTTTTACACATGTAGCAGTGTTGTTGTAGCCACAAATGACGAACATACCTCATTCTTACTTGAATAGTACGCTACGCTTTCCTGTGTTTCTTATTTTGAAGATGGGTTACAAGAAATGAGATTCTGTTTCACATTTTATGCCCCATGGAAACAGGAAGTCTTGCATGAACAATGCCAAGACCTTTTCAGTTTAAAATGTCAAATATAAAGTTTCTTCACTTGTTTAATGACTGATTTGTCTGAAACAGTTTTTTTTTTCCCTTTGATTTTTTTAATTTTTATTTAGCAAGATGATTATTCTGCAGTAAAAAAAACATTTTGTTTTAAAGTTTCTTTACAGGGATGCAACTTTTTTTAATGGAGGATGCCATAGAAAGAAAGGAACATTTTCTCACAAGAATTTTGCAAGTAGACAATAGCTTAGCCATATAACAGTGGATGCACCTATTTTGTATTTTTTTTCTAGGTTCTCTAAATGCCCAGGGAGTAAACGGTGACATAAAACCTGTCCTAAATACATTAAAATATATTTAAATGTGTTTACATGATGCATTTTTTTTAAATCTCCCTCACACTCCTTCCTGCCCTTCCAGATTCTTCCTACCTCCAGCTCCAGTCAGATGATCACCTTTACCTTCGCCAACGGTGGCGTCGCCACCATGAGGACCAGCGGCACCGAGCCCAAGATCAAATACTACACTGAGCTCTGTGCTGCACCTGGCAACAGGTGAGGCAACTCAGACCGCACTGTCAAGTGCATACTGTCTGAATATGGCAACTAAAATGTTTTCGTGATCGTTGATTTTTGTGATGGTGTGCAAAACATTTTTCAAAAGAACAAGCAAATTTTTAAAAAGATGCAAAAATATTAATTTTATAATTAATCATGAACACTTAGTTAAAAAAAAAATATCTAGAGTGTAACACCCGACTTCAGTTAATTATCATGTGGTGATGTTTTTCAGTGATGTGACACATCTGAAGAAGGAACTGGATGATTTGGTTGATGCCATCGTTGAGAACTTCTTTGAGCCTGTGAAGAATAAGCTGCAGCCCAAGCCAGAGTAGCTCTGATGGAAGCTTCATCAGAGCTGAGAAACGTCTCTCTGACCGTCGTTTCACATCTTAATTACTCCTGATGGGATTGTTTTTTTGGGGTTTTTTTCCCAGATAAATTAACTATTGTTTTTAAGTTTGTCCCAAGATCTTTAGATGTTTTACTAGTAATAATGACAAATTGTTTGGTTCATTTTAAAATAATTTGCATCAGGAAAGCAAAAATTTCACCCCACTTTAGTAGAATTAGAATGAGTCCCTCTGGATGTTTATGCCTAAAGCTATGAGCCAAACTTTTCTATAAAATCAATCAATCAATCACTGTGGAGATAACATGTTGTGGCCAGTTTTTCTATTTGTTTTGCTACTTTTGTTTTAAATAAATTGCACACATTCCTCTAGTTACGTCGCAGAAGACATAATGGAACTGATCAGATGTTTCAATTACATTTATCTGTATTTTGTGGCTTTTATTTATCCTGTGTGTTGGTTGTCCAGAGAAACCAGTTACTTGGAAATATTCAAACCAGAATATAAACAGATGTGCACACTTTAACGTTCGGATGGCAGTCATCACTGCTTCTGCTTTGCCCATCACAGCTGGAGTCAAATTCTGGCTCAGATGCGTAAAGTTGGATTTTTTTTTTCTTTGGTGCTCTTTCTAAAAAAACCTAAATCCCTAAGTTTTATCCACCTGTGTTTTTATTCCAAGAGTATATTTGTCAGCAGAACAGAGATACCTCTGTAACTTGAAGTATACCTCATTCCTTTTGACCACAACAGTAAACTTGTGTCCCCCTTTAATGCCACAATCATTCCTTTTTTTTCTAGATGGTATTATGCTCTACATTGCCTGTATTTGACATAATACCCTCTGAAAACACTGCTTTGTATGAGTGCACTGCTGCTGATGTGACACAACACAACTAAATGTTGGGAACTGCTTTTAGGCTTTGAAATTATGTCATGTTGTTAATGATAACTCTGCCACTGAATGTTTAGACCTTTATAATCACTGCACACGTGGAAACTAATTGCAGAGTTTGCAGGTTTACTGGCTTTACAACAAACTCGGTCACCATGAGATGTTGTGACTCCAGAGGGCGGTGTTCGCAGGGTGGAATGAGAATTCAGGCGGCTTCATATTCTGACAGCTTTTTTTAGAAAACGGGACCCTAGTGGAACTCGGTGGATAGCCCACTGGTAAAAGTTCAGTCCATGTTGTTAAATCTGTGGCGAAAAAGAGTTTCAAAGTATGGACACATTTTCTCATAACAGCTATCAAAAAATGTGACTGCCTGTTTTTTAGCCTCTCTTCCCTTGTCAGTAATTTTTTTTTTTTTTTTTTTTTTTGTGGGCCTTCAAAATTTAAAAATTTTTTTTTAAAAAAATTTAAATAAAATTTTAAAATTGT